CTGGCTGGACTTGAACCCACAAAACATTCGAAATTTCAAGAGCTGAACGAGCAGAGAGCCACAATCCGTTGATATCATTTGTTGGCTCAGGCTTCGCGACTTACCATCATAAAAGCATGAATTAAAATTCAGTTCGCAGGTTACTTAAAAAAATGCTCTCACCAAGCAAGAAATTGCATTCCTGGAAGTTTGATTCTCGCTTCCGGGATGACGCTCACAGTTTCCCGTCGGACTTTTGCAATAAGAACACTGCATAGTATTGTTATAGGATCCTGAAAAGGTCCAAGAATGATTCGCACATGAAAGCCAAAAAATTTGGGTAAACTTTTTTCTGTTGGTGTTAACTCAAAAGGCGAGGCCAAATTCGAAAAGGCGAGCGAGTTGGGTTTCACGTGAAACGCAGGTTAATTCCTCCTCCCAGAAAAGAGATTGATGAACCGGATCAACGCAGATGCTTTACTTCTAGGGTGCTTTTAGAGCGAATTCAATGTTAAGGATTATGCTAAAAGGAGTGCGTTGAAGATCACAAGGAATGAATTTTAAATTTCGTTTATACTTTGGATATGCAGTTCCCATCTCTAACTAATTTCTTTTGACATTCCAAAAGCGTTTACTTTCAGCTTTATCATGAGCGAAGTTTTTGCTTTTATCACGAACACTGTCACATAGCTTAGATAAGGCTTGTGGTTTGGCACAATTGTGTTTATTGCTTCTTAATCATTTCTACGTATCATGAAAGAAGTGAGCTTTCCCACGTTTAGCTGTTCTGTTTAGTATCAACGAAAGATAAGTTGACGTTACTGTAAATTCAACTTGTTTCACAAGTTCGTACCGTTGAGTAAAACAAGAAAAGCCCCTTCCCAACAGACTGTCCATCCCATTTTTTCCATGTTGTGAACAATCATTTGACCACCGCCTGAAATATTCTAATATTGAAACAAAAACAATTCATGTGCTTGGTGTAAGAGCGGAATAAACTTAATTTGTTGGGGCGAGATTTAAAGGGAAGGATACTTGGTCGAAGTGGCGTTTTCGTACAAAATATACAGTACCCAAACTAATTATTCGACACAAAACGCAAAAACTTACGATCAGCGTTTTTTCTTCATAACTTCCTCAACATTGCATAAAATGTGAATCCGAAAAAAAGCATGATGCTCAGCTCGTCAAGACAAATCTTCTGTCATAGTACTATACGGTGCTACTCCGTTTTCAGTCTGCTTGATTTTTTCATGAGGACGGGACTTTGCAGTGGCGCAGCGCAAAACTTTCAAGGAAGACTTTAGTAAGCACATTTTAGTATCTGTCTACGTAGATAATCATGCGTTAGCAATTTGCCGACGATACCTTTTCTAGAGTGAAAGATAGGCCGGTAAGTTTCGAAAAATCCATGCTTTCCAATTTTCGCTTACCGTAACTTTACAGTAATGCGCTAACTTGCAGAGCAGGTGTGTTTCTCGTAACCAGCGAACTAGATAATCTCTATGTGCAGGTTCTAAGCAATTCGAGCCCTTTGAATTTTCCTCGTTCCAGGCTCTGAAGCTTCTGCGGATTTTGGATAAAATGTTGATGATTTTGGATTGACCAGAAAGGTCGCCCATAAAGGTTATCGGACCCGCTGATCACGAAAATAGCGCTGTTTGTGCACCACAGATTCTTTTAGCAAGTTATGGCAAGGGAAATGCTGCGGTACTATATAAGTTCCTGACTTTGCCTGCACTTTTCCCGTATTTGTTGGACAACTTAGCTGCTTTTTTGTAATTTGGAATCAATAGACACAGTGTTATCGGAACATGTTTGAGGCATTTCCTTATCCATATTGATGAGAATTATGAGCTTACGAACTCACATCCTCATGAATATCGTCCAAAGCTTGAAGATCGCTTACTTTGGCCGAATATTGTCCTGAACGCTACGAAACACTTTGTTTTCAAATATCATGCTTTGTATATTCATATGTAGGCCGATAATGCTGGAACAGCATACCTGCTTATCCCTCCCCCCTGTCACCCTCGTTGCCCAAAGTTTGCAAGAAATCGATAAAACCGCCAGAGGTAATTGATGATTCTTAAAACTAATAATGTATTCGTAATCACACCCTCGCTTACCCACCTGTAAGATTTGCAACCGATGATCGATATCGACCGATGACGAAAGTAGCCTACGACCCCTGCTCGGCCCAAGTTGTGTGCAAAGTTTAGTTCAAAGGTATGTGTCAGTCTCCCGTTCGGGTGAGTGTTTCCGTACAGGTCTTGTCCACTCATACCCCAACGCCGACGTTCGCGCATCATGAGCCTGGGTCCCAGCGCAAAACTAATGTCGCGCCATGAATCCATGCGAAATTCTTGAGGTCCGTCATGGAGGCGAATATCTCACATCTCTTGTCAGTTGTTAAAACACCATCAGAGCTGCCAGTTGGGTAGTGTCTTAG